AAAAGTTATTTTTCATTTCATCCAACCTTTATAAAAGAAAAATCTGATATGCTTCTCAACCCAATGTAGAATTGGATTGAAAGGAGTCTGACAAAAAATAACAATACACAATCAACATTCTCTCCTCTCCTGGAAATCATTTATTAAGTTGGTCAGACTCAAGATAAAATAAATTCCAGTGCTTTCTGAAGTCGTCGTTTCGTCAACCCGTCGTGTCTTATCTGTTATCTTGTCAACAATCCCATCTAACAAAGGCTGCAGCTTGTAGCACAATATGCTCTTCTCTGTGCAATAGTGTAGAAGGTATTGGTGCAGAATCCGTTGGAGGCCCAATTGCGGCAGTTGGAGGAGCTATCGGCAGCGAAAGAAGTGCAGCCAGTTCCAGATCTAGCAGTGGTGGTTGACGAACATCTTTCACATGTCTTCTGGCAGTTCAGATTCACAAACTCTTGCATTCCAACGGCTTGGCAGACGGAGCGATCGTTTGCGCAGTCTGGCACAGCGTCCACGCATCCACCATCGTTACAGAATCCGCAAGCCGATGGGCAATCTTGAGCGATGATGGTTCTCCATTGCGGGGACGTACATTGGGTGCGGGTGATCGTGGAGCAGGTGAGGCGGGGAACTGAACAATTTGTCAGAACCTCATTTGATTAGTAAAACTCACATGCAACATTAGCGCAATTATAGGCACTAGTCTGACAACACAATCCGCACGTCTTGGCACAACTGGACAACGCTGCAGTTTTCATATCCTGTACAATCGCCGCGGGTGTAGCTGCAGCAGATGTGTAGCACGGGCGGGGTCTCTCTGCATTGTTATTTGGCATTGGGTATCCATCGGCAGCGACAGCTACTGGGTAGAGCACAGCGCAAGAAGCGTCGGAGATGGCGTTGGAGCATGCGGTGGCAGCCGGGGTGTAGACGAACTGAAGTTGGTTTATATAATAATTTGACGATAGAAATGTTATAACTCACAAATGTTCCGTTGTAGGTCGTGCAATTCAAATCTCCCGAAATCAATGCATTGCTTTGGGGAGCCAGCAGAGCCAAGAGCACTGACACGATTGCGATCATCCTGGTTGCACGAGCCCAAAAAGTAAAGAAACTGTACTCAGGAACTCTTTTTATAGTTTCCTAATTTGGGTCAATAAGTTAGAAAACCAGTTTGAACAGCTTTGACACCCCGTCTGCAAATCCGCTAAAATCCAGAGTTCAAAGAGAAACTTTATGGGAGAGCGAGACAAATTAAGAGAGTTTAGGAACTACGAATTATTGAACCAGCTTTTTTCAAGTTCAAAGTTTTAGTGGGAAACTGCATCTTTGACCTTGCAGTAGCGTTGTATCGTTTTCGGCAAATATTGAGTGCTAAATATCACACGAACAAATCTAAACTTACGAGTTTGGCGGTTGGATGATGGTTAATTCTGAAAAGCTTGTTTCATGTCCCACCCCATGTCCCCCTTTTTACTTTGCCCCTTACCTTTTTTAGACCCGAAATCGAAAAAAAAGGTTATGGTTCTGTTCCAGCATAGGGGGCCCATACAATTGGAGGGACCCCTGAAGAAAATATGGGAACCAAAAGGTCCCCCACACTGCTTAGGGACCTTAAAAGGAATAAAAAAAATAAAACACGTTATCTTTACTGGTTGGCTGTGTGTCCCTTTTTTGTTCAAGGTGTCTTTTTCAAGGCACTTTGCTTTGTCTATGGGTCCCTATACTGTTTAGGGTCATGTATTTTTTCTTTGGAAGTGCCGCATCACTTGAGCTACAGGATCACGATGTCGGGTACCAGTTTTGCTTTATCAATATTCCATTCTTCGTTCTTTTTTTTCCATTCCACAACTGCACTTTTTGCTTTCCTTCCCCATAAAATTATACATTGTTCATTTTTATGATTTGCATGACACATCACACCCCTCCAACACAACATTTCCCTTTTGTGATGACCATAAAAAGGAACGACCGAACAGAATATTATTCAATCGTCTTTTTCTATGCTAACTATTTCAACTTTTGCCCGACTTCGGATTCACGTGGTCATCCAGGCGGTGCACGTTAAAAGATATAAATGCCCTGCCTGGGTCACCATGTGAATAGGGAATACGGTCAGCTTAACTTGTTAATTTCAGCTTAAAAAGCTCAAAAAAACTGGAGAACATTATACCTTTTTATGCCTTCTTGTTTGCTGAGCTTTGTCGTCATTAACGTCTGATTTAAATGTTTAAAAAATCATGTAGTTTATTATAAATATAAACACAATATATCAATAGAAAAGCCAGTTCCCTAAGCCAGTCACCTGAGATCGTTTGTCTTGAAAAGGGGACACTTGCAGTCTAATAATGGTAGTTTAAATCAATTTAAATTAAAATCAGTTAAATTAAAAGCAATTTAAATCAGTTCTTAAATGTTTGCCAAAGGTAGAACACTTGGGCTTGCGTTGAGCGGCCGTGTAGAAGTTGTTGATGCAGAATCCGTTGGATGCACAGGCGGCGCACTGGGCGGTGGTGTAAACTGCGAATCTATTTTCAAATTATAAAAAAAAATTTGGCTAATCAACTGTTTATCCTGACACATAATTGCATTTGTGTAAATAATACTGTACAAAACAAAGTTTTGTGAACAAATACAGTAAACAAGCTAATCTAGCAAAGCTAACTCACAATTTTTTTCTTGAACGGAATTCCAAATCTTTTCCAGAGATAAGACACTGTTCAGCTCAGAGGCAAAACTCAGTCCTAAAAATTGTCAAGTATAGGAAAAATGTCCTTGGCTATCTAACAGTAATAGTAGTAGTATAGTAATGCAGGATTACAGTACCGTTTTCATTCCCCCCCCCCCCCC